TCGTCCAAATATAGCAATATTCCAGCCACCAGTGTACACCTTCTGCATATGGAAGGTGCTTGACGCATCTGGTGTCTGGGGCACATGACCGAACAAACATGGCCAAATAGTTGGTTTTATGAGCTGGCGCAACTTCCTCTCTCTCTTCCTTCTCTACCATCACCATCACCTTTCAGCAAGCCGGTCACAAGTGGCTGAGCTTTGTTGCTGCATGTTGCCATGGGCATGCAGTGTCAAAGCTCAGTTATTTGCACGTGCCTTTGTAAGGTAACTGTTTCTTTTCCTGTAGATAGTATTATGTAATATGCACTTTACTGACTTCATCCCATGGCTGGTCTTTGGCCAGTCATGGGGTACATGTGGGTTTTGGGGGATTACTGGGCATGCAGCGACGAGCTGCAGAGGGCTCCGCATTGTGGGGGCGACCCACTCGTGTCCCTCACCTGGTACTTGAGATTTGGGGGATCACTGGGCATGCGGCGGCGAGCTGCAGAGGGCTCCGCGTTGCGGGGGTGACCCACTCACGCCTCTCACCCGGTATATATGGGAATTGGGGGATTTTGCACTTCGGTGCCAATGCGCTTCGGCGTACTTGCATCTAGGCACATATGTGCTCTGCACATTACATTGTCGCCGGCCATCAGCCTTGTGCTGTGCGAGTCGTGCGTGGAGCCGCCATTGGCCTGCTCCACAAGGTCAGTGTTTTTTACTTATTTGTTTCTTTTTGCATGGTATGGTGGGAGTACAGGAAGTGTAAGGATGATGTGGTAAGTACTCCACTACACTTCATACTGATACTGACAACTGTTCTTCAGCATATAGTGGGTTTTATGGCAGTGGTGAAGATGAGGCCAAATCCTATAGTGGATTGAAAGAACCGGTAAGTTTTTTTCCTTACACTTTGAAGAATACTGACCTTTTGATGTTTCCACAGCCTCTTACACATGTACTGAAAATTGACGATGGTCACTGCAGTGCGAGCAATGCAGCGCACAAGGTGAGCATTTTTTAACATTTTGCGACAGTTTTCTGACTTTCTTTTGGTGTTTTTCAGATTGTATTTGTACTTTTCTTGTAGTCTACCTTCTTTTTCTTTTCCCTTCTTTCTGGTGCTTGTGGCGAATGAGAGAGGGCCCACCCTCAGTCATCACAAGTCACCTTTTGTGTTTTCAATTTTTGTAGTTAGAAAAATTTGTAACACTTGAGTTTGTAACAATGAAGCATGAATAAGGCGAAGCCATGCCGGTACGCCGGGCGATGCACGGGCACTTCAGTCACGTGATCACATCACGCACCACCATGTGTACTTTTTGAACCCTTGGCCCATCTGCTACAACAGCATTCTCAGTACTTTCATCATTTCAAAAGCCCTACTATCAACTATAGCTGGCAAAGCTCAAGAGTATGTGCTTTCTCCAAGCCAGATTTCATCTGATTGAGCAAACTGAACCATAGCTCTGAACTTCCAGACCCTTGTACCCCTGGAGGGTATCACTGCATATAGTATATATAATGTAAGCAGTAACTGTATGATGAATAAAGCCTAAGTACAGCCTAGATACAGCCTTAAACTATGTATTCAGAAGCTCCAAAGGGAAAAGAAGACTGTTACAAGCCTTAAACGTAATGTGTATAATGTCATTCCCTCAAATAAGGCAGATATTGAGGGGTATACCCTCAGGGTTTGGTACCCTTACCCATACCCTTACCCCTGGTGAAGGGTATGTACCCTTGGAGGGTAAGAGTAGAGGTACAGCTCAAAGTACCCAGGGGTATACTCCTGCTCTGCACTAGCCTGACACCATGCTTCTTTAAGGTCCTGGAGGATACACTCGTTTAAATTTAAATAGCCAGTCATACACATTTATTGACTACTTTGCATACCTACCTTTGCAACTCGCAAACTATCTGACAATCATTTGACCATTGAATGCCTGTTGTGATTGAAGTGCAAAGTCCTTGAACATTGCACCTTGCTTTGCTGCATAGGATGCATGATCACATAGACCTGCACTCACCGCCTCCATCTCCCTGGTCTGCCACTCATGCTGCTTGCGTTCAAACCACAGGACAGTCTATAACATCTCATATTACACCTTTGGTACCTCCTCTTTGTATCTTGTGTCTTGTGCCTTTGCTCTCAGCCAGTTAACTCGATTAACTGACATGCTAATTACAATCTGTGAATAAGTTTAACCAGGCATGAACAGATAGTCACTCACCCTCCTTCATCACTTAGGGCCCTAGTGCAGAGCAGGGGTATGCATAACCCTCAAGGGTAAGAGGTAAGGGTATTGGAGAGTAAGGGTAGGGGTATGAACTTTCAGACCCTTGTACCCCTGGAGGGTATCACTGCATATAGTATATATAATGTAAGCAGTAATTGTATGGTGACTAAAGCCTAAGTACAACCTAGATACAGCCTTAAACTATGTTTACAGAAGCTTTAAAGGGAAAAGAAGAATATTACAAGCCTTAAACTTAAGGTCTATGATGTTATTTCCTCAAGTAAGGCAGATATTGAGGGGTATACCATCAGGGTTTGGTACCCTTACCCATACTCTTACCCCTGGTGAAGGGTATGTACTCTTGGAGGGTAAGGGTAGGGGTACAGCTCAAAGTTCCCACCCCTGCTTTGCACTAGTGTCAGCAAGACCATTAAGTTTGGATGCCTTAGCCTGAAGCCCCATTTGTGTAAAAAGCTATATGGCCAAGGCCAAAGTGTGAAAAACTCTTTATAGAATGAAAATTTCTAGATCCTCGGCCAAGGCCACCATTTTCACAAAAACTATATAGGGCATTCTTGGCTAATGCCAAAGTTTAGAAGACCCTATATAGAATATAAATTTCAGAACACTCAGCCAAGACCACCATTTCCATAAAAACTATATAGGATATTTTCAGCCACGACCAAATTTCAGACAATCCTATATAGGATTTCAATTTCTTGACCCTTGGCCGCAGGCATTATTTTCACAAAAATCTATATAGGGTACCCTTGGCCACAGCCCAATGTTAGGAAATGCTATATAGGATCAAAATTTCATGTGCCTTGACCGAGTGGAACATCTACACAAAGGTTCTATATAGGTCCACTTGGCCAAGCCCAACTGTCTGCAAACTCTATATAGGATTGGAATTTTATGACTCTTGGCCAATGGCACTATTTCAGCTACAATCTATATAGAGAAATGGCGGCCGACCCCAAAATGCCCGACAACCTATATAGACTTTAAACTGCACCTCCCTTGGCTAACTCCCAAATATGCGACTCAGCCTATATAGCCTACTTATCTTGGCTAACCCTATATCTCCATCCTATATTATATTCTTGGCCAACACTCGGTTTTATGGAAATTTACACAAAATATTCCACCTCGGTTATATGGACTTTTCACTGGGGGCAAAAGTGGATGTTCTGCCTCAGAACAGCATCTGAACATTCAAGGAACAGATTATGTTTTTGGACATGTCACATGTTTCAAACATGGTAAGGAACATCCAATATGTCTTGCACAATGTTCTATTGGAGAGCATGCTGGAGACATGTTGCATGTATTATTCTGGAACATATAATATGTCTCACACAATGTCTCATTGGAGAACATCCTGCAGACTTGCTGCATGTTTCATTCTGGAATATTTATCATTTTGCTACTATATTCTGGGCTTGTCTCTCAGCACAATATGCTCCATATCATAAGGATTTTCCATGGCCAAACATGTTACATTTTCAGCTGCTGTTAATCTTCAGAACATTGTGAGGAGATGTTAAGTGATCTTACTCCAAAGATACAAAATGTCCTGGGCACCAAGGACATCTGCAGTACATGTATAATACATGTATAATACATACTAAAATCACAGCCCATTCAGTCATGTTTGTGAACTGGACTCCCATTTACCCTGACATTGTCATGAACTGGACAGCCAGCGGACGTCGGCCCATCGGTCTGTGTAAGGAGCTGTCAGCGATCGGCTCATGGTGATGAAGGGAATGCTGGAGCGATGGGCCCACCGCCATAGGAGTATTTCTGAGCGATTGGCCCACCACCATGATGCTACTATTATACAGGCATGGGCCCACTGCCGCGGTGATAGTTCTGAGCGATGGGCGCACCGCCATAGGTGTATTTTTGAGCCATCGGCCCACTGCCACGGGGCTATTATACAGCCATCGGCCCACCGCCATAGGTAGTGTTCTGAGCGATCAGCCCACCGCCACGGGGCTATTACACAGCCATTGGCCCACCGCCATAGGTAGTGTTCTGAGCGATCGGCCCACCGCCACTAGGGCTATTATACAGCCATTGGCCCACCACCATAGGTAGTGTTCTGAGCGATGGGCTGACCTCCATAGGTAGTGTTCTGAGCGATGGGCCCACCGCCATAGGTATATTTCTGAGCGATCGGCCCACCGCCACGGGGCTATTATACAGCCATCGGCCCACCGCCACCGTGGTAGTACTGAGCGATGGGCCGACCACCATAGGTAGTGTTCTGAGTGATCGGCCCACCGCCACTGGGGCTATTATAGAGCCGTCGGCCCACCGCCATATGTAGTGTTCTGAGCGATCGGCCTACCGCCATAGGTATATTTCTGAGCGATCGGCCCACCGTCACGGGGCTATTATACAGCCATCGGCCCACTGCCACCGTGGTAGTACTGAGCGATGGGCCGACTGCCATAGGTATACTTCTGAGCGATCAGCCCCCCGCCGTTGGTATATTTCTGAGTGATCGGCCCACCGCCATGACGCTATTATACAGCCATCGGCCCACCGCCATAGGTAGTGTTCTGAGCGATGGGCCGACCTCCATAGGTAGTGTTCTGAGCGATCGGCCTACCGCCATAGGTATATTTCTGAGCGATCGGCCCACCGCCACGGGGCTATTATACAGCCATCGGCCCACCGCCATAGGTATATTTCTGAGCCCATAAGCATGGGTCGCCTGAAATATCTGACTAGCCCGGGCATAGCTGAGTTATTTGCCTTGCCCTAGGTTGTCAACTGGGCTCGTATCGTGTCCGTGTCGTCTTGGTGAAGCTTGGGTGGGTGAAGGAACATACCGGATGATTCGTCAGGGAGTAGCATAGGTGGATGTATGAAACATGGAGATTGGTCGGGGGGAAGCATGGGCGGATGTATGAAACGTGGAGATTGGTCAGGGGGAAGCATGGGCGGATGCCACACCTGGTTGCCCGAGCCAAGAAGTAGACCATACGAAGTGAACGGATTGTACCCGAAGTCAACCGAAGAGCACGAAGTAGACGAGGATGCGGACATGTGCAAATCAGCGTACGAGCCGAAGGACACCACAGAAGAAGGGGGCTCCGACGCCGAGTCGTTGCTCATGCGGCACCTCTTGCTCAGACCTATCGGCCCACCGCCATAGGTGTAGTTCTCAGCAATCAGTCAACCGCCATGGGCATATTTTTCAGTGATTGATCCACCGCCTAACAGGGCAATGATGGAGCTACTGCCGGCCAATAATTTCCACGTAATCCACCCATCATTCCCTCCAATTCTGGTTAGCTCACTATCAGCTCTCCTTGTAGTATCACACTCTCTCCCACTGTGGGAAGGGTTGGCGAACTGTGGCGAATATCTTTCGCCATCTGAACATGGAGTTCAGAATGACTTCGCCAAACTCTCCCAATTGGCATCGGCGTTTCGAGACATGCATCAGATACAATTTGGGATGTGCCCTTCTGGGTAGAGTATGTGGAGACAAATGGCGGTCCTTTCCACCGTGAGTAGGGTTGGCGAACTGTGGTGGATATCACTCGCCATCTGAACATGCAGTCCAGAATGACTTCGCCAAACTCTCCCATGTGGCATTGGCTTTCGAGCCATGCATCAGACACCATTGGGGATGTGCCCTCCTGAGGAGAGTATGTGGCTACTATGTTTCGCCTTACCGCACCAGGTACATTGCCCAGGTTCAAAGACATGACAACCTTATATTCGACACACTACAGCACGAACGGACGCCTGGCATTGGGCGATTACATTCCTAACTCACGCAGCTGCCGTGTCGCCTCCTGCAGCTCTTCCAGCACCACATCCAGGTTCTGATCTGTCCTCTCATGCAACCAACTAGTGAGGTTCGCGACACGAATATGCAGCTGTTCAAGCTGCACCAGTGTAGACTCGGAGACGGTGTACACCTTCTCCTACGTTCTCGAGGTTCAGCAAGACTGTAAGGTGCTGGAACGTACCACTCACCCAGAGATCACCAAGTTTGTACCACCAGGCCTCCATAGGGCTCCCCGCCGGCCCAACCTGACGATCCCATTTCCACCAGTAGTCGGGTGAATCCTCGAGTAGGTTCTTAGGACGAGGAACGAGGGCGGTGGGGCGTGGAATCGCCTTGACATCAATGCTGATGGGGCGCAGAACTTCGCGATTGAAAGTGCAGACAGTGAGGACACTGGCGATAACTCCGCCATGGTCAATATGGTCAGCATGACCCGCCAACGCGAGGTCGCCACAGATACCCCTGATGGTGAACTGCACAGGACTCAGCAGGGTCAGGCGATATCAGCAAGAAAGGCATACCATCTCCCGGCGCAAGCCTTCCTCCCAACGGACCTTGGTGAAGTGATCTGGGTCAGGCTCCAGTGCCAGAACAGCTTCTTGGATCCTCCAAGTGTAGACTTCCAACTGCAACCTCCCTCTGGAGAACAGGCAGGGGTGCGCATCTGATGTTGAAGACTGGGCAGACATGATGGTGAGTGGATGAGCTGAGGTTGATATCTGATCGACCTTATCTGATGTCTGATGTCATGCGATTGGAGAGCACATGCCGAGATGAAGCCCTCAGGCGAGGATGGAGGTCACTTCGCCAAATGTGATATTGGTGAGTAGGAATTACATACATGATGATCACTACATCGATATAGCAAACATGAATATGCGTACACCCCAGTGAACCCTGACTCAAAGCACATTTTCATCGCCCGCCCTTTCGTCCTCAATGTCCAGGGCGAGGATGTGGCTGAAGGCGTCAGTGGCGTGGCTGGCGAAGGTCCGCCACATACTCACTTGCCTGGCGGCATAGCAAACATGACCCCGCCAGGAAGGATCCGTCATCTCGAGCCAGTGAGCCCATCGTTCCGCATTCCGCTTAAAGGTGGCTATGGTCCAGGCCATTTCCGAGTGGACCAAGACACGCTCCTCCCTCCATCTCTCATATCGAGCTCTGGCATGCAGCCAATTCACTCTATAGACTGGAGGGTAAATTAGCAGGAGGCCTAGAGATCGATCGGACAATTACGAACACTCGTCCATCCATTCTGATGAACCTCGATCTCCAGCGACATCCATGGTCCAGAACCAAGCCAGGTTGACGTTCCTGAGCCCGGAGGTGCTAGCCTCAATGACGGCAGTCTTCACGTGCAGGTCCTTCTTATCCAAAGGGCGATAGAGGGCCAAGTCTTCATCGGTGGCGCCCAAGCACATAATGGCGCGTCGGTTGGCAGAATAGAGCCTGGCGCAGGCCAAGACGGTCTGATCGGCAGCATAAACCTCCGCCTGTGCACGGGTCATGGTTCCGACGCTGTTGGCAGGACGAACCCTCTTGTGGTAGAGGTAAGACTTCAGTCCAAGCGCCATGCAAAGCTCGTGGAGGATGTCATTCATCAGGCCTTTGCGCAACTCCAACTCTTGGGCCGCCAGGGTCTGGAGCCCGTTGGCGACGGCGGCCACGAATCCGATCTGCGAAGGTAAATTCAAGGAAGCTCGCTCGGGAGGAATCGCATCCTCGCCATACTCAGCGTCCTCCGGGTGTATTTGAAAAGGATTCTCATCCAAGGAATCCCAGAGCGCACCATCATCACGATCTTCCATGGCGGGAACATCCTCCAACCTTCCCATGAACTTCTCAGAGCGACATTGGAATGTGAGAATGCTGACTTCGAGGCGCTGACGGCGCTCGAGAGTCTTGAGGTCCTCCGCCACGCTCGGATTTTGACCCGCCTTGCGGATATCATTCGCAAGCTTAAGCCTGAAGGCCGTCAGAGCTGTATTTTTGTTAAGATGAGGCAAACTCACTGTGCTTCTTGAATTTTGAGGCCAGTCGACAACCATCCGGCGGTGCCCTTCTCCAAGCCCTTGGCGGACTCCTCGCCCGCCAGTCTGAGTTGGGTGAGGTCTTTACCCGGGGCTTGCATTCACGTCAACTACATGCCACACGACGATGGAAGGATACTCACCCTTCATGAGCTGGACATCGAAGGTGTCCATGATCTTCGGATCATTTTGGCGAGCCTCCATAGCGTCGTCGTACTCCTTCTGCCATGCCTCAAGGACATCCTCATCTGTGGATGCAGATAAAGCTTCAAAGGACTCCTTGCTTCGTGGGAAGCCCAGGAGCACACGTTTCCACTTTGTCATCAAGGTTGGCACTATAGGCAGCATAAGGCAGGTGGCAAATAGGGAAGCAGGAACCAGGCTCACCCATGCGAGTCGTCTTCTTCCAGTTGGAGTCATTCATGTGATCGTCAAGGACTTCTTGGCGGTGAGCTCGGGTCATGCCCCTGGTACTGCCTGAGACCTCATTTGTCGGCGCCCACAGGGTCTCGATGACCTCGCCATCGACCATACCAGCGCCAACTATAAAGTTGGGCGAGAACCGTTGGAAGCAGCAATCTTGGTGTCCGTGCACATGAAACAAGCCGATGCCTTGGTCTACCTTGAGCTCGAAGGGCATCCTCAGATAGGCGCTGTGGCGGAAACGTTTGCGGACATGGACGCCATACTGGCACATGATGTCGTACATGACGAGGATGAGGGTGATACCGGTGAGGGTCAGGAGCGCATTGCTGAGAGAGTAATCCATATTCATTTGTCTGCAGAGGGTGCGTCGGTGAGAATGAATCATGACAAGAGACATATGCGAACCTTTCTCCCTTCTGGAAATCGATGACAGTATGAGGGACGAAGAAACCATGTCTGGCGCAAGCAGTGGCCCCGATTCCTGTGGCGTCGAGGTTGGCGCGATCCACATTGGCCTGATTGACAGCGCGGTGCTCATGACAAGTGGAGCGCTGGTGGGCTTAGGAGTCAAGGGCAGAAGAAGAACGTGCAGCCAGACACGCACCTGATGGGACTCCATGGCCACCACCAGATGAGCCTTGTAATCCTCTTGGCCGACCATGAATGCCTGGCCGTCACTGAGGGCGACGTCCTCCTCGGGGTGCTTCATCTTCATGTGCTCTGCACTGAAATTGCCATCCATGACAAAGCCGCGTTTGAACTTCCACTGCACTGGATCCGCTTGCCAATCGAAAGGCAGGTTGAGCCCAGGCTGGGAACAGGCGGGACAAAAGATGGCGAGGCCACCCTTCTCCACAGGATGGAGGGCATCGTGTGAGAAGCCGTGCCACTTGCAATATTTGAATTGGCGCCATTGGCGGGACACCCGCATCAGCTCACAATAACGGTCCTGGCGAGGAACTGGCATGAACGGTTGGGCCATGGGAATGCATGTGAACACTTACGGGAACAGTGCCAGGGAAGGCATTGCTCGTGACCCGTTTGAGCTTGCTGTAGTAGTTCAATGCCGCCGTCTTGCACTCTTTGTTCTCCAGAAGGAAATCGTCAAGGACGGCGAATGTGAAGGCGATATGGGGATCCTTGACGGTACCAGGGTAAAGTCCCATTTGAAGAAGCTGCATGTCACGCTCCACTGCCATCTCACACTGGCACCAGTCAACGCCGATATGGTGAATGCCAGAGATGTCAACAATGACTATGATCCGATTCCCGTAACTATCACGGCGAGGTGGCCGGAAGAGCACCGGTGGCACATCTTCCTCCCAAGTAGGATCGGGAGCATCGTCGGTTTGCCTTGCTTCACCATCAAGGGTGCCTGCCAGAGGTGCAAAGTTGAATGGGACCTCGCCATCATGTGCATTTAGGTCTTCATTGGAGGCATTCCAGAAATTGGACCCCGGGGCCACCACCGGCGCAGGGTTGTTATGTGCTGTGAAGGCGCCCAGAGGGCAGGGATCTCCGCCATGCCCCAAATGGATGCAGACGCCAACCCGATACAGTGATGCCGGCTCAAAATACTGACCCTGCCAATGCTCTATCCGATGGAAAGGAGCACGCTGATGGCCGTTACGACAGCAGTCGGTACAGGTAAGCGGTCTGCCCATACAGTCCAGGCATCGCCACCGTCCCTCGTCAACCTTGCATTCCGCACAGTTTCTGGGCTCAGGCGGGGCTTCCATCTCGACAATGGCATGAAGATAGTCATCACGGTGGGGTATCCAGTCCCTCATGAAGTCATTCTGGGTCTATCGCGCATGGTCAGACCGTCAGATGGTCATGGCGGGAGTGCCCACCTTTGTCTTCCGAGCCGCCGGATCCAGCTGAATCGGCACACCTATGTTGCCCAGGACGTCGCCATCATCCAAGTTAAACAAGGAGCCTGAATCTGGAGCCTTCGATGGACTTTTGGAAGGCGATGGCACGTTTGAACCCGTGGGCATGGGCAAAGGTACGTCCACATAGCGTACTCCCCTAGTGGTCTGCTTAGCTACCTTGGTCACAAACTCAACCTCGTCATCCAGGTCTACAACGAGCCTGCTTTTGTTGCATCTGCTCATGGTTCAGGTCAGTGGGGAGTCGTATTCCAAGCCAATCGATGAGCATTGTGTCCCTATCGCACAACACGTGCAAATCACACACGGTCTTGCTGCCCACCAGACTACTCATCAAGGTGGTTAAGAATGGCTGCAATGCCTGGGCCTTATCACCTCGTGGTCTCTTTAGGCACCATATCAGCGTTATGCAGATAAGGATGCCATGTTGGCGAGAGGTCTGCCAATTGTATGTCGCTCTCAGTGCTAACTTTGCCTTGACTCGGAGTAGCATAATGTTCAAAAGGGAAACGTGCACTTGCACCGCGCGCTCGCCAATGCTGCCGCCATCTGCCCCACTAGCACTCACAACTTCTCGACCGAACACATTTTGCCACCATCTCCGCCAACTTTGAGGTCCGCCAACCATACGCTGCCATCAGTGATAACTACACCTTGAGCTGAACACTGTCGAGATGTGAAATGCGCACTCGTACCGCGCGCTCGCCAACCTTCAGCTAGGATTCGGAAATTTGTGACTCCATACATTTCGCCATCACCTCCGCCAACTTTGTCCCGCCAATGAAGCTGCCATCGACAGTCTCCATCCCCTGCATAGTGTTCTCGTCTCCATCAGTCTTTGGCATGATGTCCCTCTAATAAGCGAGCCAGTTAGGACCTGTTCTGAGTTAGGAATGCAGACTCGGTGATAAACTGTGCACATGCCAATGTGTGAGGCGTAATATGAAGCTTGCATCCAGTGGGGCACTGGAATGCCTAGCCTGTTCTGGACACCCTCTCGCATGAAGTATGCATAGACGAGCCTTTCGCCATCTGCTCGAGTGACGCCATGACGAATCGCCTTTCCACAGAAGGCTATGACAGTTCCAGGACTATAATCGATGGCGACACGCATGGCGGGGAACTTCAACCACGCGCAAGTGTAGTTGCCCAACGTTGCCAACAGGTCGTAGAATGTGTATCTTGTCTTGCTATCTCGGTGGAAAGGAGTTTCTCGGTTGGCGATCACCTGGAGTGCATTGAATGGTGACGACCAGTTCAGCGCCATCTCTCGCAATTCTGGGTCTTGCTGGATCAAACCCAAGCACTGGCGTCCTGCAGCATATAGTGTTGGGTGAACGACGGCCAGGATGGCGCCCAGCAATGCGGAGGAGTCATGAATATCACGCAGCCAACTTCTTCCGCCCTCAAGCTTCAGGCTGGCGGAGGTCTCCAGCCTCCCAGACTCCATATGCTGCAAAGGCTGTCCAGACGCAAGGCAAATGGCGTGGCGAGGAGACCCACCTCTCTTACTTGTTGGAACCAACCTGGCGAGAGACACAAGGAGCCCGCTGGGAATTGGGCACACTCCTCAGGAGGCAAGAAGTACAACGGGTTGTGTCGCCAACTGGCGGTGGTGCTGGAAGGCTTACTGGCTGCTATTGCTGGGTGTAGGGCCCTGGTCGCTTGGAGCATCTTCGTCTGACAAATTTGTCAGATCACAGCGCAAGGCTGGGCAAGCCACTCACCTGGCGGTCTGGTATCAACACTCTTGGAAGTATCCAAGCCAAGATGCGTTCGTGCATGTCCACGAGGGTGGCGGGCTGGTCTATGCATATTTCGCTCTCACCAAATGGAGGAGGCCACTTCCGTTCCAGTTCTGCCTCGAGGACTTCATTCTGCCCCGTGGGCTGAATCGAAAGGCTGTCGCAATATCTATCAATGTCCCACTGCAGCCTTACTATTACAATGGCGTGATCAGTGTGATCAGACCTGCGGCAAGACTAATGACTACCAGGATTACGGATGGCCTTCACAAGAGCATCTGCAATGCCATTGCACTCCAATAGGAGGGCGGATGGCATGGACGGAGGCACTTCTATAGATGGCGCAGAATGGGCTGCATGAGTGGCCAGATGGAGCTTTCGGCAGAACATGAGCTCCAAGACTCCTGCTATCTGATCGGTCAGTGGCATGGGTGACAGATTGCTCATCTTGATACTGTCTGCCAATCAATGGGACAATTACAGCATGCATCGGTTGAAGGAACGCACAGGTGTATGGCGGGCTCAGGCGGTTGGCTTGCAGATGCAGGGGAGAATGTAGGAGGGGCCAGAATGGCAAAGAACAGTATGCATTCATCTGCCTGCATATTGCTTGCAAGCACGTCCCTTGCACATCTCACATGTTCATCATGCCGCCGAGCCAGACTTGATGCCGCCATGCCAGATCACGGGCCGGGTGGTCCGCCATGTCTGGGCCCTTCGTCACCGCCATCTAATTGGCCGAGCCTAACTCCGAGGAAGCCCTTTATCTCACAGATTGGCATGCAGATGATCGCCAGATTGCCTCCGCCCAGCATTCACGAGATGAAGTTGGCGTGGTGTGCTCTGCCATAGAAGCGGCATTCAACATTGCCTTTCACCAGGCATGAATGCTCGTGCATACCTACTACCACCTCCCGCCACTGCGAAAAATACACATACAATGCTTCAGCAGTCACCACACACCATGGCGAGGAGGGTAATTGGTGTAAGCCCAAATGGGCCATCAGCACGTGCATGTTGAGTTGTGGGCGGCCGATGAGGAAATGGACAGAGCGCTGCCCGTTGAACTATCGACCCCCTTCACTGTCCCAACACAAAAATCTCATCCTCGACATCGAGAAAGCATGCTGGCGAGATTTGTAATTTTGACGGAGCATCAGCCCATACTCTCTGAGAAGCTGCGGTCTTATGACACGGCAGATGCCAAGGGACGCAAGACTCTGGTTCAGAGCTTGCACCAGAAGCTGAAGACACAGTTTGTCGACACGTCAAATTATGATGACATCATTGTGGAAACTGTGAGCAGTGTTTCATGTCTGTGAGGTCCCCACTAACTCTCACCGCAGAAAATCTGAGAGTGGCTCAATAACCACGCCCGCCATGCACAGGAGAAAGCGACGAAAAAGCGTATGCATGTTTCTGGCAAGCCCAATGCCTTCAAGGTGTGGGATGCGCTGGAGAGGGACAAGGTGACTGAGGCCGCGCGAGCACTCACGGCAGATAAGGGTTGCAATGTCTCCAAGGTGTGGAGAGTCGCACGAAGTGCCAAATGGGCAAAACTGTCCGAGGAGGAGCAGAAGGTGTATGAGGAAAAGGCGGAAAGTTGGCGCAATGGCACTCTGGATGATAAGATGAAAATGAAGTGCGTACCTCCTGTCACGTAGCATAAGGCAAATCCTGACCCAAGACAGGCTGAGGGAGCAGCGAATGATGCAATATCTGAAGAAGTTTGCCAAGACTATGTGGGACACCATGGGCATTCGCATGGCATTCATGCTAGCATATCCGAAGGAAGCGGGGAGTCTGAAGGTAGAGATGTGAGCGTAGACCGTCCGACTGTCACCATCTGCTAACCCCTGAGTGAAGGGTGGAGGTCAACCACGCCATCACCAATGGAACTCCATTCGGGGCCTATCCTGGGTGGCTGCGTGCTTACCAGCCTCTAGCAAAGGTGTTCTCTGAGTGGGCCAAAGGCGAATACGGTAAGAAGACCTCAGTTGCATTGTCGCTGGCACACTGACCTGATTTCTTAGGTGTGACTGAGACTACGGTGACGGTGAAGAAGACACCTGCCGATTGCATGCGGGCCATGGACAAGATTCGGTTGACGGCCAACGGTTTTCCTCTGCTCCCCTCGGTGCCTGAAGGTATGGTGGAAGCGCCTCTCAAGGTGATGAAGGTACAAGTTCGAGACTTCATGAATCATCACTACGGTATGACACTCCCACTCGGTGTTGAGAGATGCTGACCAGTTTACAGCATTGGCGAAGGGTGTTCGGAACTGCAAGTCGCCATGGACGAAGCTGAACAGCATAGACAACATCAATGAGGTTATTCCAGCAGAGATGCTACCTGAGAACTTCCAGTGGATCGATCCCTCAAAGATGACAAGTGTTCCCATTCGTGCCCTCCTCGACCACTGGCGGGCATGCCAAGAGGAGCATGGACCTGAGCAGACCATGCGATTCACCCAGTACTTCGACAAGGATGGCGAAGCTGCTCCCGCCAAGTATGATCCTCTTCCACCACTTGACGGATCAGCACAGGCATTAGAAGAAGGATCTGAACATGAGGTCCAAGAAGCACTCACACCTAAGAAGGCGGGGAAGGTGAAGAAGAAGGGTAAACCTGTGCGCAAGGTCACGGGAAAGGCGGCATCGAAAGCGACAAAGGGCAAGGCGGCCCCTGGCGGAGCCAAAGGCGGTGGGCATAAACGCAAGACGAAAGATGCATACGACTCGGAAGATGATGCCAGAAGCAGCCAAGACTCTGATCGGAGTTCGCCAGATATACCCAGCATGGCTTCCGAAGAAGATACGGCCAGCGATGAAGATTCAGGGGATGGCGAGAGCGTGATTGCGAATAAAGTGAAGGGCAAGGCAGTCGCCACCACCAATGGACGTAAGGCTAACAATGGCGGTGCACCTCAAGCGAGTGGTAGCGGCGGTGCCAAGATGAAGGCAAAGCGAGGTCTCCAAGACCTTCCTCTGGGCGAACTGCACAGATTTGACACAGAGGAGACCGATGAAGCATCGAGTGAACTGGAGCCCAGTACAAAGGAGCTCAGGCTTGAGCTTCAAGGCCGAGCCCCACGTCTCACTGGCGGGAGTACTGTGGGGAGTACTGTGCCCCACCTCGTGAAAAGGAGAGACGTGTTTCTCGCCACCCTTTCCGTCGAACCGCGATACCAGGATATGCTGAAGGAAGTCAAGATTGCGACTGTGGTGAGCTCCTCTCGTGGGGATTCATAGCCACCATTGATCATCCGTCATATAGCCCCAGGTGTATCGTTTCGCCAGGTATGATCCGATTCCCTGGAGTGAATGGTCGTATAGCCAGCGCTACCTCCCGCCGTCATTTCATGCGGTGCACAACTTTGACATCGTCGAGAACTGGTTGGGCGACAAACCATGGCTGACAAAATATCGGTTCTTACATTCACAAGGCGTACAACAATCTGCACTCGTGATTGGTATGACGCTGAGGGACCTCACACGATCTCAGTTCATTGAGGAGGGCGAACCGACCAACCTTCCCGACTATGTGGCGAACTCGGCAATTTCATTTGATGCAGTAGAGCAGCTGCTTCGCTGTTGCGAGATCATTACCTTGGACATGGTGGAAGGGAACATCACCCATGCCATGGTGAAGCCAGTGAGCAAGCCTGCCATACGCGGTGCCCCACAAGGTGGCGATGGCCTTGGGGGCCAGGAGGAGCAGGAAGGTGATGCCTCTGCAAGAACTCACGATGGCGCTGCTACTGCTGCCAAAGTTCACAAGGCTCACCAGCCTGCCCCCATGGCTGACAAACCAATCATTCCAAGTGGAGGAGACGAAGGGCCGAGCCAGGAGACCAGTGGCCCGCACCGCCTCCATTGCCAGCCTGGCGGCTTCCTCCATGCCATCGCCTTCCGCCAGAGGCATCTTGGCTGCTGCCTTGGGAGCACTCGCCTTCGCCTTCCTGGTGATCACGGGCACCATTGGGCCCGAGCGACCTCCCATCGCCACCCTTGTCATCTGCCCGCCCTCCTTCGCAACAGACTTGGCAGGCGGGACCTCATCCGGCTCACGTACTGAGGTCCTGGTGACCTCACCACCATCTTGCGCACCTGAGTTTTGGCTCCTCACCGGCTTTGCCTTGGGTCCTGATTTCTTACCTTCGCCAGGTTTGGCGACCACACCAGACTTGGCAGGCGCGCCAGAGTTGGAGACCTCGCCAGAGTTGGTGACCTCACCAGAGTTGGACAGAGCCACAGCTCCAGTGGCGGTGGCGGACTTGGTGGCGCGCTTGGACTTCGACGATTTCTCCACCAAGGCCTCGCCTTCAGCGTTGGCTTCATAGGGCGTGACGGTCGCCTTCTGCTTCATCACCTCGACCTCCTCACCACCCTTGACCTTGGAGCTGGATGCTGCAGCATTGCGCATCTTGGTCTTCTTCGGCGGCTTGCGCTTCGACGCTCCCATGACCATGGGTTCTGCACCGTCGGGCTCATCGGAGTCGACCTTGACGTCGTATGGAGGTGGCGACGTGGGCAGTGGCTTGCCCTCTACCACCAGCACTGCGCACATCTCTTGGAACTCACGCTGTGCGGTGTGTGAGTTTCCTCGCAGGGGCACGCCGTCCGTGTTCCTCGGCGCGATGCTGCAACTGACCCCTCGTGCTGCACATTCGAGGCAGCGACCGAAGTTGGCGGTGTTGAGCTTGCATGGCCACTCTTTCTCCTGGCAGCCAACGCAAGGGACGAGCTGCAGGAACATTAGCACAGGTCAATGTCTCACAAAATCGTTACTCACCGAATCTGTTGCGTGTGCCCACATGAAGTCAGACACGCGGGTGGACATCTTTTTCCACATGTCCTTCTGCGACACCGTCACCTTCGCCTTCCCCTTCGCCGTCGCCTTCCCCTTCGCCGTCGCCTTCCCCTTCGCCGTCGCCTTCCCCTTTGCCGTCGCCTTTGCCTTCCCCTTTGCCTTCCCCTTCGGTGCGACATGAGGCGTCGCCGTCATCCTCGTTGTCTGTTTGACAGGTTTGGCAGGGGCGTTCGTCTTCGCAACACCGTCGTTAGAGTCCCCTGCGGTCTTGGCGGGTAGATTGGAAGGCAGTGCCGGAGTCTCGTCTTCACTTTCGATGAACTCCTTGCTCTTGTATTCCTTCATCGCACGCTTCTTCTTTGGCGGCTTGACGGTCGGTACTTCCTCTTCATCGCTTGACTCCTTCGCCTTCCTCTTCCCACTCTTCTTCGTGCTCACCTTCGAGCCCTCCACCTCGGTCTGCGCCATCCTCTTCTGCGCACGCTGTGCTCAGCCAGAGGTGGTCGGGGCCTCGCCTTTCTCCTTTGCGACCTCGATCGGCTTCATCCGCTTCGCCTTCGGAGCCGCCTCCTCATTCTCACTCTCCTCACTCGACTCTGTGATGACCGCCTTGCGCTTTCGGAGTGATGGGGCAGCTGGCAAGATCGATATTGGTCTGGCAGTTGGCGGAGGGGGCGACGCCGCATCGACCTCGATGGATTCGGGCTGGCCTGCACCCGGCACGTCTTCTGCCATCTCATCGTCGTCATCTTTGTCGGCATCGTCGTCCTCGTCACTGTCGGCATCATCATCGTCCTCGCCCTCCTGCTCCTCTCCCTCTCCCTCTCCCTCTCCCTCTCCCTCTCCCCCATCCTCTTCCTCGCTCATCGCATGCACCGCCTTCCCCTGTGCCTTCTCCTTTCTCTTGCCCTTTCCCTTGTCCTCCCCCGCCTCACGTGGACGATACGCTCACCCACCATGCCTGTCCCGACGTCGTTGTCAGCTCTCTCCTTGCCTTTCCCCTTGGTGACGAGGTCCCCGGTAGCCAGGTCCTCCTCGCCACGTCCCTGGGTGTCGTCATCGGCTGGCACATTGCCCCAGCCCTCCGCTTGCGTACTCTTCACCGGTGGCAGCTTGCAATATGGATCTGGTGCAGTCAGTGTGTCGCTCGACGCCTCACAATGCTTGTGACTCACCTTCAGTCCACCACTGCCTTCCCAGGTCCTCACACTCCCCATACTCGCGCACAGCCAGAGGGTACCTCTTGTATATCCTCTCATCGTCGTTCGATATGTGGTCCAGCCGTGCCAGGGCCTTCTGCTGGTATGCCCGGGTGAATTCCAGCAACGCGCTGATGACGATCCCAGGCATCCTCAACGACTTCAAGGGCTGCGGGAAACTCTTTTCAAGCTGACTCTGTGTGGCATATTCGGTAAGTGCATGCCAGACCTTCGACCGATGACTTACCACTTCGAGGTAAATCCTCGTCTCCCAGTCCGGATAGCGAGGGTCGTCCTGACGAGGCGCCGCTGCAACAATGGCCGTCAGTCGCGCGGCCTGCAGAACATAGTTGGGGTCGATATCCAGAGGCATGGTGAGCTTGGCAGAAGAAAGCATGAGGGTGTTTCAAAAGCAGAGGTTGCAGTACAGCGGAGGCGGAGCAGACGACGCTATGAGCTGGCAGACGCAATCTGCACCAAGTTCAACTTCACACGTCACGCGACCACGTGCTTTGCACGTGATCGCTGGACTTGCGCGATTTCTCAAGTCTCTCAAGGTCAGTGTGACCTGCCGCAAGTTCTCATGGCTCCCAACAGTAAGTTCTATTGCTCTCCTTGTGGAATCTGACTCCTTTGTGATGTTATCTGACCTTTCTATGTCATATCAATCCCCTTTCTACAACTGATCTCCCGCGATCCAGGACTGATCGAAGACTTGTCTGCTCGTACCTCCTGACACGCTGGACATTACGATGGGCGAGTCGGATGAGGAGGATAGTATCGCTGAGCCCCGTCGTCCACTCATTTCGGATCTCCTTGACTCTCCTGGATCTGCCCAGATCTCCTTGCCTCTCCACTCTGCTTCTCAGACACCCCTCGCGCCCCGCCACACTACCCCGTCCCTGGCGGCTCCATTTGCGCCATCCAACTCGCCACATGAGCATCTCCACCGCCATGCCTCGCCAAAGGTACAGGCGTCATCTGGATCTGTGGCGCCTGTGGAGGGAAGTCGCGCACTTATTCCTGACCCTCTGGCGCCAGCTTGGGATGAAAGTCGTGGCAGTTCGCCAATCCATAGGCGTGCACTCATCTCAGATTCCACCCCCACTGCGCCCGGTGGAATGTTCAACTTCGACACTCCTGGCATCTCGCCAATCCCTCGACGCGCCCTGTTGGAAGCTACTCCCCTTCCTCCACCAGCTCACACTTTCGACTTTCGCACTCCTGACACCTCCCAACTCCCTCGACGATCACTCATCGCTGAGCCCCTTGACGCTACGCCACGTACATCCATCCACTTCGATAGTCAAGCAAGTACGCCGATGGCGAGGGGCATGCTGGTGGACAAGACACTTGACGTGGAACCAGTGCCGAAACTGCTGGACTTTGACAATAGTCCTCCCGCCACGCCAGGACGACAGCGAGCTCTGATGATAGACAGCCCTGGCGCAACGCCTGTGCGTAGCCAGGTCCGGTGGCTAAATAGTCCCAGCACTTCGCCTCCAAAGAGGCGGCCTTTGTTGGACGATGTTTTAAGTCCACCGCCTCTGCCATCGGCGCCCTCTCACTCGCCAGCTCGCACTTTCGATGACAGCAATTTCCGCCACGATGCACCTGTCATTCACTATATGAAAGGCAGCATCGAGCCAGTCACTGTTACTTCCAGGATGCCAAGTCTGGCAGCACTTCCAGATGAGCTGCCGATCCATCGTCCCACCCATTGGGAACAGGTTCTAGGCTTATTCCCAGATACCACACAGCTGCTGCCAATGGCAGTCCCTGGAGAGACGAATGCTGCTTCTGGCTCACAAGTGGCCCGCCTCGGTAGATTGTTTGCGCAGATCGCAGCAGAGGCAGACAGTTCCAGTGAGTACATCCCTGGCAACCTTCAGTCTGATGTTGACCTTATTCATAGTGGACGATGACGAAGGTGATAGCTTTGCGGTTAGTCGTCGTCGCGCCATGTTGCGGGAGCGCATTGTACGTCTTCAGCGTGAGCTCAACCTCACTGAGGATATGCACGTTGCGAACCTCAATGCCAGCTCGACCGTGTTCCAAATGGGGTACATTCTGAGGGACATTCGTGGCGAGGTGTATCACAGCAACTGAACTAGTGTCTTTGAGCGTTCTGGTGTTAGCAATATATGACCGCTATGTAACAGCTTGTATACCAGTACAAAATGGATACATTCACTTCTGCATCACTAAGCTCTAAAGCCCATCGCTCCTCCAGTGTACTCTTGAGATGGGCGGACTGCGCTCGCCATCACCAAGGCATGTTGTTGCCAGCAATTGGCCCATCGCCAAAGGACCTGAGTGAAAGCTTCACTGCATGGGAATATCGCTCCGCCAGCAAAGGGCCCACTGCCAAGGGTCAGAGGGTTGGCCATCGCCAAGCCGTGTTTTCGCCACCAATTGGCCCTCCACCATGAGTGCTGGTGAGTGATGGGCCCACCGGCAAAGGTCAGAGAATTGGCGATCACCAGAGCACGTCATCACCACCAATGCGCCCAGAAACTGCAGGGCTGTATGTGACAATGGGCCCATTGGTGGCGATGACATATCCTGGTGGTCGTCAACCCACTGGCCTTTGGCGGTGGGCCGATTGCTGGCGATAACATGCTCTGGCGTTGGCCAACCCTCTGACCTTTGGCGGTGGGCTGATTGCTGGCGGAAACATGTTCTGGTGATGACCTATCCCATGGGTGCTTGCAGTAAGGCCCTCACTGAGGGTGCTTTGGCAATGGGCCGACTGCTGGCGATAACATGCTCTGGCAATCGTCAACCCTCTAACCTTTGGCGGTGGGCCCATCCTTCAGGTTACACTCTGGGCGATCGGCCCACTGCTCATTCGTCATACTCTGGCGGTGGGCCGATTGCTCAGACAAACATGCTCTGGCCATGGCCAACCCTCTGACCTTTGGCGGTGGGCCGATTGCTGGCGGAAACATGTCCTGGCGATGACCTATCCCATGGGTGCTTGCAGTAAGGCCCTCACTGAGGGTGCTTTGGCGATGGGCCGATTGCTGGCGATAACATGCTCTGGCAATCGTCAACCCTCTAACCTTTGGCGGTGGGCCCATCCTTCAGGTTACACTCTGGGCGATCGGCCCACTGCTCATTCGTCATACTTTGGCGGTGGGCCGATTGCTCAGACAAACATGCTCTGGCCATGGCCAACACTCTGACCTTTGGCGGTGGGCCCATCCGTCATCTCATTCGTCATACTCTGGCGGTGGGCCGATTGCTCAGACAAACATGCTCTGGCCATGGCCAACACTCTGACCTTTGGCGGTGGGCCCATCCATCATCTTACACTCGTGGCGATGGGCCCACTGCTCATTGATCATACTTTGGCAGTGGGCCCATTGATGGCGATAACATGCTCTGGCGTCGGCCCACCCTCTGACCTGTGGCGGTGGGCCCATTGCTTAATGGTTACAACACTGTAATATGCCCTGCTAGTGGGCCGAGCACTGGGAGAAGAACACTAGCGGTGGGCCCACTGCTAGTATCCCACACATGAAAGATATGGGCCCACTGCTGGTAGAGGTCAACATGGTGACAATGGGCTGACGTCCGCTGGCTGTCCAGTTCATGACAATGTCAGGGTAAATGGGAGTTCAGTTCAGGTAACATGACTGAAACCTATGGCGGTCGGCCCATCGCTCAGAACACTACCTATGGTGGTCGGCCCATCGCTCAGAACACTACCAATGGCGGGGGGCTGATCGCTCAGAAGTATACCTATGGCGGTCGGCCCATCGCTCAGAACACTACCTATGGAGGTCGGCCCATCGCTCAGAACACTACCTATGGTGGTGGGCCCATCGCTCAGAAATATACCTATGGCGGTAGGCCGATCGCTCAGAACACTACATATGGTGGTGGGCCGACGGCTCTATGATAGCCCCAGTGGCGGTGGGCCGATCACTCAGAACACTACCTATGGTGGTCGGCCCATCGCTCAGTACTACCACGGTGGCGGTGGGCCGATGGCTGTATAATAGCCCCGTGGCGGTGGGCCGATCGCTCAGAAATATACCTATGGCGGTGGGCCCATCGCTCCGAACACTACCTATGGAGGTCAGCCCATCGCTCAGAACACTACCTATGGCGGTGGGCCAATGGCTGTATAATAGCACCGTGGCGATGGGCCGATCGCTCAGAACACTACCTATGGCAGTCGGCCGATGGCTCAGAACAGCTCCAATGGCGGTGGGCCGATGGCTGTACAATAGCCCCGTGGTGGTGGGCCGATGGCTGTATAATAGCACTGTGGCAGTGGGCCGATTGCTCAGAACACTACCTATGGCGGTGAGCCGATGGCTGTATAATAGCACTGTGGTGGTGGGCCGATCGCTCAGAACACTACCTATGGTGGTCAGCCGATCGCTCAGAAATATACCTATGGTGGTGGGCCCATCGCTCAGAACACTACCTATGGAGGTCAGCCCATCGCTCAGAACACTACCTATGGCGGTGGGCCAATGGCTGTATAATAGCCCTAGTGGCGGTGGGCCGATCGCTCAGAACACTACCTATGGCGGTGGGCCAATGGCTGTGTAATAGCCCCGTGGCGGTGGGCCGATCGCTCAGAACACTACCTATGGCGGTGGGCCGATGGCTGTATAATAGCCCCGTGGCAGTGGGCCGATGGCTCAAAAATACACCTATGGCGGTGCGCCCATCGCTCAGAACTATCACCGCGGCAGTGGGCCCATGCCTGTATAATAGTAGCATCATGGTGGTGGGCCAATCGCTCAGAAATACTCCTATGGCGGTGGGCCCATCGCTCCAGCATTCCCTTCATCACCATGAGCCGATCGCTGACAGCTCCTTACACAGACCGATGGGCCGACGTCCGCTGGCTGTCCAGTTCATGACAATGTCAGGGTAAATGGGAGTCCAGTTCACAAACATGACTGAATGGGCTGTGATTTTAGTATGTATTATACATGTATTATACATGTACTGCAGATGTCCTTGGTGCCCAGGACATTTTGTATCTTTGGAGTAAGATCACTTAACATCTCCTCACAATGTTCTGAAGATTAACAGCAGCTGAAAATGTAACATGTTTGGCCATGGAAAATCCTTATGATATGGAGCATATTGTGCTGAGAGACAAGCCCAGAATATAGTAGCAAAATGATAAATATTCCAGAATGAAACATGCAGCAAGTCTGCAGGATGTTCTCCAATGAGACATTGTGTGAGACATATTATATGTTCCAGAATAATACATGCAACATGTCTCCAGCATGCTCTCTAATAGAACATTGTGCAAGACATATTGGATGTTCCTTACCATGTTTGAAACATGTGACATGTCCAAAAACATAATCTGTTTCTTGGATGTTCAGACGCTGTTCTGAGGCAGAACATCCACTTTTGCCCCCAGTGTTTAGGTATATATTGGCTGATAGGTGTGGTTATTTTGAATAGTTCTTGATCCATCCCAGAAAACTGATCATATTCGCAAGCACTGGAGTGCTGATCTTCTCAAAGATGCACTGGACAATGTGGAGAAAGTGGTAAGTCCTTGCGCCATCGTATAGTACATGATTCTAATAGAATACAGTACAAGCAACACTATCTTGAGATGTACGGCAGTGCATTATCCTCCATTTCAGCATCGAGAGGCACAAAGAAGCTGTCTCAGAAGCTCAGCAAGTTGATGCGAGAGCTATCTGATGATGAAGATGACACTATACCTAGTCCTTCTGCAGCAGCTACATCATCTACACAAGAGTCCTCAGGTGACCCAAACAAGCCATGGCTTGCTGACTTCCATGGTTATCTCAACTCAAGGGACCACCTTGGTGACAACACCATTGTTCAATGGTGGGGGGTACGTGATTGCTATATTGCATTTTGAGAATTGAACTGACTTTGCATAGCTAAATGCAACTCGATACCCTGTATGGGCATCATTAGCACGAGACTACCTCTCAATTATGGCATCATCGGTATTGAGTGAGTGTGCTTTCTCATCTGCGGGCATCACGATCAGCAAGCGACATAATCGTCTCAATGCTGACATTGTCGAAGCACTATAGTGTCCGAAGTGCATAATTCGGCGAGATGTTCTATTCCGCGAGCTCCCGTCGAGTATAACTGAACTTCCAGCTGATGAACTAGCTACAGAAACTTTCAGTAATGAGGAGGAAGAAGAGTCCTGGGATACCATAATTGAGAACATTGATAACGATGAGGACATACAGGAGTTTAGTGATGGAGATGAGGATGAGAATGTACATATGCTAATGTTATGAACATTTCCGTGGCTACCTACTAATAAGCCGGGGCCTGAGCTGGGCCGAGCCTGAGCTGAGCCTAAGCTGTCATCAACGGCCCGGCCTGACCTTTGTGCAAGCTGAAGCTCTGAAGCCGAGCCGTAGCCCCAGCTTTCAGGCCGAGCCGGGCTGTGCACATCACTAGGTGCACTATGAACAATAGTTGGTGCAGCAGACACCAGAACAGGCTGGACAATGGGTGCACTATGGACTCCAGAATGTTGGAGAGCATTGCGTTCAGCAGATGCATCAATGCCGGACTGCACAACATCAGCGGGCAGCGATACTGCATTGCTGGAAGTCCTGGAGCTGGTATTGATGGCAGCGGCGGCAAGGGCATGCACGGGAATCATATATGCAGGGGGTGGTACCGGGAATCTGAACATTGAACTGCTGGCCGTATCAGATATGGCAGGGAGAACAATAGGCCGATCTTGCACAACAGAGAACACACCAAGGGTAATGTCGGTTGGACTGGTTGCAATGTGAGGTCCAGGCTCATGTGCACCAGATACCATATTGCCAGTATCGGAGGCATCACCCCAACAGGAACCTTGATTTGGCTGCAACGGGACTCCATCAACCGAAATTGCTGCTGGGGCAGCAGAGTCCATGAGGTCAGGAAGTTCTACACACTGGTTGATAACCCAGCTGGTAGTGTCGGGCATCCACATTCCGACATCGAAGTCTGGCCATGGTACTTGCTCACCTCTGAGACCCGACATCAGAAAAACCCAACTTTTACTTATGGGACTTATTCCGACTTTTTGTCCTTTTCTGCCTTATTTAAGGCTCATAAGTTTCCAAAAGTCGACTTTTAAGTCTCTAAGGAAATATGACTTATGGACTTTTTGTCCTTTTTTACCTTATTTAAGGCTCATAAGTGCATTTAAGTCACATAAGGACACCTTTAAGTAAAAGTTGGGTTTTCCTGATGGATGGCAATGGCCATGCGGCACCCAGTGATGTCAGTTATGGGTGATAATAAATTGTGCTAGTTAACAGTATGAGAGGATAAGCAGGCCCCTAAGTTAGCAAAGGATAATCTTTAAATGTCTGAGGATTATCTTTTTCAAGTTGTGATGATAATAAAACACACTCTACAATTTTTGTTCAAAATGATCCAAGCAGTATCTTCAGATGATCCAAGCATTATCTTCAGATGAACCCAGATCATATTCAGATGATTCTAGTCTCATCTTTAAATAATCATAGTATCATCTGTAAATTATCCAGCGAGATAATCCTCAGCATGATACTATGTACAACTTACTAAACACCCTAACATAAACTTGAGGTAAAGTGTGAAAAAAACTTATCCATCTTGCAATGCACCTCACCATTGCCTTCAATTCCTCCACAACATAATTCACACACTATCTACAATGCCCACTCCACAGCAGACTTACTTGACATTCATGCTGCTCGTGCTTACAACTACCGGTAACCGCTACAACTATGTCAGTTGCTGAACAGTACAACTTGGACTGTGTCAACGCACCTTGCTGTAGTCCATTTCTCTCCATCTGGGTCCCACCTCACCTTGCGAAACATCTCCTCACACTCCTCAGCCATATGACTAAACATCTTGGACTTCTTCATCACATATGTAGCCGCTCCTCTCTCAATGCCAGGCTTCTCCGCCACAGCCTGCCATGCCCTACTCACAAAGCGCCAACCTTGTATGGTATGCCGAAATTCCTCATGCAATTTATTGACTTCTTCATTATGCCGTTCCTTGTCAGCGTGCACCACTCGATACGCTCCACTGCAAACAGTATAAGTTAAGTTCATGTGTTCGCATGATCGTTACCACGTACCTTCAGCACTCCAAGTGGCAAGTTCATCAGCTGTTGTCCCCGGTGGCACAAGGTTCCAAAACCAAGCACGAACTTCTTTACTATCACCCAGTGAGCGCGGAGCCTGCAAGTTTTTCATGGTTAAGTCCTTCGCGAGGTCAATTGCATGCAGGTTTGCGTCATCGTCAATTCCTAAATTAAGCAATTGTTCAGAATTTGTGTTGTACCTCCACGCAACCACCTTGGTGTGGTCCACCATGTTCTGGACAATTCTCTATGCACGGGTATTGTCCTTCTGTCCATGGGCATGCTTCACCTTGTCACTGAGAAATGCTCCTCAATGGCGCAATGACTCCTTGATCGCACTTAGTAAGTCATGCACTTGCCCGATGCAGATGCATTTTTCAAATGCAGCTAGCACCTCCAGTTCGAAGGCCTTGCGCTCGGTCTTGTTGAAGTCCGATGGCAGGGCCAAAGCCTCAGTTTCCGGTCTTCCAAATGTTTCGTCATCTTCCTCGTCCTCTGCATCCTCCGCATCTGGCAATTCAACCTTGGGCATAAACACGGCTTGCTGGCGATGCCACTTGTCCAAATCACGATGCAGGTTGCGTCGCTCCATCTCCAAACTTGCCGACTCGCTGGCAGTGGGATTGCCGTTCTTTTATTTTGCCACATGAGCTTGCAGTGCTAGCCTGATGAGGACATTGAGTAAAATCATTGTTGCTTTAGAGACATACATACTGTTATTGTTCTATTTGTAGCCCAGTCTTGAGAAACTGAGTGGCACCACTTGGGGCCTTGCTTGCAGTGAAATCCATGTATCGTTCCTGCAGCTGAATCTCCTTCTTCGCCAATTCTTGATATGCACGGCCCGCACTCGGTACTTGACGATGTTAAGAATGGAATAACAGTGATGATGTAGGGCATGAACCTTTACTCTCACTGAGAAGATATACACTCTCTACCTCCTTCCCCTTCTGCTTTGGGTTCATTTCCATCTTCTGCCATTTCTCAATCTTTGCTACCCCTGTGACCTCGGTCAGCGCATCGTATAGTTGGTCTTTTTGATCTTGTCCCTTGAAAGCCTCGCCGAGCTTGCACGAGAGGCACACTCCTTGAAACTCGTGAGAAACTTCCCACACAAACAATATACATGAGAACTATGCACCTTCATTTTCAACCTTGCGTCAATTCCAGTAGTTGTGAATATTGTTGAGCACATCATGGCGATGCCTGGCTCCCATCTCCCGTGTGCTCAACCCAGCCTGATTGTGCTCGGCCTATGGGTGCTCAACGCTCTCACTGTGAGTCAGTCTCATACCTCACGTGTAACAAAGCACATACAGTGTTTGACAGGACTCCTTGTGAGCAAGCATGTGAAGCTTTAGAAGAAGCAACTGGATCCGATCCAACAGAGGGATCAGATAGGGGAAGCATGCGCTGAACCATTTGAGTAGATTGATCTTATAAATGCAGGCGACGTCATATGTAAAAATCAAATGCCGCAGCTCCTCCAACCCAGCGAGTGCACTGGCAAGTGCGAAGTCCATGTGTCTAAACGTTGCTGGAGATGTCAGCTAGAGCCCTCAGCATGTATCATGGTAATGCACCGCTCTTCCTTTTGTAGATCCACCATAGCGGCTGGCCGGAAACAGCCTTGGCGCATACAAATCACTGCAACTACACCGCTGACTTCGAGGTTGCAAAATTTCCCTGGGTGTTGTGTGCGTGCAACTTTGAATCCACTGCACATTTCAGGCTGAAGGTCTGGTCAGCATCATTATAGTGCGCCGCTTTGAACACATACCGCAGGCTCCGCTGATATGCTCCCAGAGCTCCTGGCCTCTGAAAATGTGTTTTCCAGTGATCTCTCAGACCTCACTACTCTATCTCTTAGCCTCCGAGATGCATCCGACCCTTTTGCGACCTTCTGCGAGCTTTCTGACTTCACGCGACTTCATTCAACTTCACTCAATTCCTCGCGACTTCGTACCGAGATTCGACATTCTTTCATCACTCATACGTCACTCTTGCATCTCCTCGCAGTTGGATACCACTTACCCGTTGTCCTTTGGTCTAGTTCGATGCACCCTGGTCAATTTCCATCTAAGTCCATACTTCCCCGATGTCGCGCCACCTTTCTGGACATCGCGCTGACTTGCTGGTTCGCCATGCCAACTTATCGGTGTCGCACGACAGTCGCGACCTCTTCCTTTGCAAATCTCATTCCCTTTATCGTTCAACCTTCCCCTTCAAGACTCCTACCTTCGTGCTGGACCAGAGATGCCATTAGAGTGTTCCATGTGGTTCAGGACAGGTAACATATGTTTTCTTTCAATTTTCCTCTACTTTACCATTCTTCTCCATCGCTAACGTACGACATTCACCTCTCCACACCCTTTACCTATTTTTCCATTGGTCCTAGACCATTGCAACTCTCTCCGATGTCAGGATCCATCTTTCAACATTTCGCGACTTTCGCATTTCACCTCCCCCATTTTCCCCTCTATAAATACCTGCTGTATCTACATCGATTATCATTGAAGACCAGTAGGGAGGAGTTCCCCTTAGCTTCAGATCACTAAGAAACTGCGTTTACTGTGATAGCGACTTCGAACTGCGATATACCCCCACACCTTTTAGTCATGTTACCTGAACTGAACTCCCATTTACCCTGACATTGTCATGAACTGGACTGCCAGTGGACCTCGGCCCATTGGTTTATGTAGAGAGCTGTCAGCGATGGGCCCATGGCGATGAAGGGAAGGCTGAAGTGATGGGCCCACCGCCATGGGGGTAGTTCTGAGCAATGGGCCCACCGCCATAGGAGTACTTCTGAGCTGTGGGCCCATCGCCATAATGCTATTATTTAGCGATGGGCCCACCACCATAGAGGCACTTCTGAGCAGTGGGCCCACCACCATAGGTGATGTTCTGAGCAGTGGGCCCACCACCATAGGGGTACTTCTGAGCAGTGGGCTCACTGTCATAGATGTTATTCTGAGCAGTGGGCCCACCGCCATAGGGGTACTTCTGAGCAGTGGGCCCACTGCCATAGGTGATGTTCTGAGCAGTGGGCCCACCGCCAAGAGTGTAAGATGAAGGATGGGCCCACTGCCAAAGGTCAGAGGGTTGGCCATCGCCAGAGCATGTTACTGCCAGCAATGGGCCCATTGCCAAAGTACCCTCAGTCAGGGCCTTACTGCAAGCACCCATGGCATAGGTCATCACCAGAACATGTTTCCGCCAGCAATCAGCCCACTGCCAAAGGCCAGAGAGTTGGCCATTGCCAGGGCATGTTTCTCCCAGCAATGGGCCCACCACCAGAGTAGTCAAAGGTCAGAGGGTTGGCCATCACCAAAGCATGTTGTCGCCATCAATGGGCCCACCGCTAGAGTATAATCAAGGAGCAGTGGGCCCATCGCCACGAGTGTAAGATGAAGAATGGGCCCACTGCCAAAGGTCAGAGTGTTGGCCATCATCACAGTATGTTTCTCTGAACAATGGGCCCACCGCCAAAGTATGATCAATGAGCAGTGGGCCCATCACCATGAGTGTAAGATGAAGAATGGGCTCACCACCAAAGGTCAGAGGGTTGGCCATCACCAGAGCATGTTATAGGCCCATAGCCAGAGTACAATAGCTGAGCAGTGGGCCCATCTCCAAGAGTATCAGATGAAAGATGGGCCTACTGTCACAGGCCAGGGGGTAGGCAATCACCAGGACATGTTTCTCCTAGCAATGCGCTCACTGCCAATGTACAATGAATGAGCAGTGGGCCCATCATCATGATGCTATTATTTACTGATGGGCTCACCGCCATAGGGGTACCTCTGAGCAGTGAGCTCACCGACATGGTGTTATTAGTCAGTGATTGGTTGACCATCATAATACTGGCAGTGCCTGGACTCAGCAAGACACCTAATTGCTAACCTGATACCACATCTCTGGTGGAGTTTTTACAACATGCAGTCCCGCCTGAAACTTATCGTAGCTGTCGTATAGAGTGCAGTGCTACCATTTTATGAGTTTCTGATATATGGTGAACCATGGCTTTACATTCTGGTGATGGCGAGACTCAATTTGCCAAAAAGTCGCCAACCTAGCTCTCCTTCTTTGGCAAAGTTTGTTAAACTTGGAGGACTGTCTGAAACTTGTAGAAGAGGATTTATAAAGTGCAGTACTGCTATTTTAGACTTCCTGCATATATGGAGAGCCATGGCTTTACATTCTTGTGATGGCGAGAGTCAACCAGTAAAAAACTCAGCAACCTGGCTCTCCTTTGGCGAAGTTTGTCAAATTTGAAGGTCTGTCTGAAACTTGGAGAAGAGGATTTATAAATACCATTTTATGAGTTCCTGATATATGGCGAGCCATGGTTTCACATTCTGGTGATGGTGAGACTCAACTAGTAAAAAAGTCGCCAACCTGGCTCTCCTTCTTTGGCAAAGTTTGTTAAACTTAGAGCACTGTCTGAGACTTGTAGAAGAGGATTTATAAAGTGCAGTGCCACCATTTTAGACTTCCTGGGTATATGGTGAGCCATGACTTTACATTCTGGTGATGGCGAGACTCAATTTGCCAAAAAATCGCCAACTTGGCTCTCCTTCTCTGGTGCAGTTTGTTAAACTTGGATGACATTATTATCATTTAATAAAGATAATCTTTTCGACTAATAAGCAGTAATTTAGATAAGAATTGTGTCTAATAAGCAAAGATAATCCTGAGATAATTTGAAGAATCATCTGAAAATTATCCGAAGATAATCTGAAAATTATCTACAAAATACAACTGAGAAATTGCCACCAGTCAGGATTGAACTCTCAACCTTATGATAAATCACATGACATATTTTCAACTCATGCTTTAGACCACTAGACCATTAGGCCTTGCAAGTAGTAAACCTTATGTATAATATGTAACCTTCTTTTTTGAAAGTGACTTAGTCAAATTCTGACTTTCAAAAGACAGCAAGTGGAGAACTCTAAAGTTGACTATAAACAAAGATGGTTTTAAAGCTTGTAGCATTTATATAATGTCTTGTAATCTCAGATGAGATTACAATAGTCTATAACAAGATGTAAGTATTCTTGCTCTAGTAGGTATGTTATAAATTATAAACATTTACTATCTATCTGTCAATACTGATTCACTGTCTAATAGACTTATATGAGCTATTGTAATAAAGAATTAACAGCCAGCTTCTTAGAATCTTAGCCTCCATTCTCTAGTTATATGTTAATTTGTTTGCTGAGAAACTAGAAAATTTTCAGCTAAACTGTATCAACAGCATGCTGTAATGACTCTTTAAGTTATTACATGAATGCTACAAGTTTTAAAACCATCTTTGTTTATAGTCAACTTTAGAGTTTTCCACTTACTGTCTTTTGAAAGTCAGAATTTGACTAAGTCACTTTCAAAAAGGAAGGTTACATATTATATATAAGGTTTACTACTTGCAAGGTCCAATGGTCTAGTGGCCTAAAGCATAAGTTGAAAATATGTCATGTGATTTACCATAAGGTTGAGAGTTCAATTCTGGCTGGTGGCAATTTCTCAGTTGTATTTTGTAGATAATTTTCAGATTATCTTCGGATAATTTTCAGATGATTCTTCAAATTATCTCAGGATTATCTTTGCTTATTAGACACAATTCTTATCTAAATTACTGCTTATTAGTCGAAAAGATTATCTTTAATAACTGACATCACTGTGGATGACTGTCTGAAACTTATAGCAGAGAATTTATAAAGTTAAATTCCATAATTTTATGAGTTCCTAGTATATAGTGAGCCATGGCTTTACATCCTGGTAATGGTGTGACTCAATTAGTAAAAAACTCCCCAACCTAGCTCTCCTTCTTTGGCAAAGTTTGTTAAACTTAGAGCACTGTCTGAAACTTGTGGAAGAGGATTTATAAAGTGAAGTGCCACCATTCTATGAGTTCCTGGTATATGGCGAGCCATGGCCTCACATTCTGATGAAGGTGAGACTCAACCAGTAAAAAACTCAGCAATCTGACTCTCCTTCTGTAGTAAAGTTTGTCAAACTTGGAGGACTGTCTGGGATTCATAGTAGTTGGTATATAAAGTAAAGCACCACCATCTCATGAGTTTCTGATAGACGTTGAGCCATGGCTTCACATCCTGACGATGGCTAGACTTAATCTGGTGATTCTCCACTAACCTGGTGGTCCTTCTCTGGTAAAGTTAATTCAACTTGAAGCACTTTCTGGAATTGATAACAGCTGTTGTATAAAGTGAAGGGCCACCATGTTATGAGTTCCTGATTGATGGCCAGCCATGGTTTCACACATAAAAATGCTAAACAACCAGCTGCTTCTGTAATGAAGTCTGTATGCAATGGAGTATTATCTGAAACTTATGGTCAAAGTTATATACTGTGGAGTATGAACTTCAACTTGGAGTAGCAATATCATATTGTAACTTAACAGCTATTAATTCTCAATAACAATTAAGTGTAATTCTTTGGAGAGAGCTACACTTAAGTTTATGAAGTGTGTTTTGCTTTTCATATAACTAAATGCCAGACATTTGTTAGAAAATGACAGATGTATCTTTTTCAAGACAACATGTAGTCAACTGTAATGTTAAGTGATTGGCAAGCTTTACTTCTCAAAAAACAGCAAAGTTCACTTCTGAAGAGTTAGCAATATTTCACTCTGAGCTCTATAGACTTCTTATAAGCGTGTCAAGAATCTATCTAGCTCTGATATAAGGTCTATGTAATCACCATCCTTTAATGTAGATAGAAAAATGTATTGAAGAAGAATCTCAAATTTATAGAAGAAAACACATATAGGAGCCATTATGTTCATGTAGATGTGTGTGCACTCGGAGACTAAAAAGGAAAGTGTGATTCCTTGACCAGTTCAGCAAGTCACGTGAAGTTCATTAAAGGTAGACAATATTGAATTCTTCACATAACACTAAGTGATTATAATCAAAACTAACCACAACATCATATTTTGCATATAAAGTGTTGTACTTTATTACACATAGTATCATGCAGAGAAATGGTAAGTTGTATGCTGAACTTCTCAAAGTGTTCACAGATCATTAGAATGGCTGTGTGTATCTTGCTAAACTTCAAGAAGTAATGCAAGGCTTCTAATTTAGAGCATACAACTGCTGTTGTAAGATTTAGTCACTCTTCCATATTATACATATATAAGATTATCACAGCCGGTTAGCATGCTAACTTGTGAGTATATTTATGATGATTAGATGTGACTCAAAACCAACTACAAAGTCATACAGCACTGGCATTGAACAGTAATGCAACTGCTGCTCTAAGTTTTGAAAGGCTTACATACTTCACTATATAATAAACAGCAGATTGTCAGCATTGAATCTCAGTGCATCCACACTTTGCCAACATGTACAAACACAGCCTGACATCAGCCAGAAGTCCATATAAAAGGACATCACAGTATATAGCTACTGCTACAACTTATAGTTAGTACTTTATATTATATGAAATTCATCAGTGTATGTGAAAAAAGAAGTATCAGATTGCCAGATACATTTTCCCTGTGGCTCACCATCTATAAGGAACTCACGAAATGCTGGCACCACTTGATATAACATTTACTTCAATTTTTAAACAGTGCTTTAAGTTAGACAACCTTTATCAGAGAACAAGTGCCAGATTGGTCATTCTTTTCCTGGTTAAGTCTAGCTATTATCAGGATATGAAGCTATAGCTCATCATTGATCAGGAACTCAGAAAGTGATGGCACTTCACATTATGAAATGTCTACTATAAATTTCAGACAGTGCTTCAAGTTTGACTAACTTCATCAGAGAAGAAGAGCCAGGTTAGCGATATGTTTATCGGTTGAGTCTAGCCATTATCAGGATATTAAGTAATAACTCCCATCTACAAGAAACTCAAACAATGACGGTGCTTCACTTCATACCGCAGCTACTATCAATCCCAGACAGTCCTCCAAGTTTGACAAACTTTACTACAGAAGGAGAGTCAGATTGCTGAGTTTTTTACTGGTTGAGTCTCACCTTCATCAGAATGTGAGGCCATGGCTCGCCATATACCAGGAACTCATAGAATGGTGGCACTTCACTTTATAAATCCCCTACTACAAGTATTAGACAGTCCTTCAAGTTTAACAAACTTCACCAAAGAAGGAGAGCCAGGTTGGCGAGTTTTTTACTAGTTGAGTCACACCATTACCAGGATGTAAAGCCATGGCTCGCCATATACTACGAACTCATAAAATGATGGAATTTAACTTTATAAATTCTCTGCTACAAGTTTCAGACAGTCCTCCAAGTTTAACAAACTTCACCAGAGAAGGAGAGCCAGGTTGGCGAGTTTTTCACTAGTTGAGTCACACCATCATCAGAATGTAAAGCCATGGCTCACCATATACTAGAAACTCATAAAATGATGGAATTTAACTTCATAAATCCTCTGCTACAAGTTTCAGACAGTCCTCCAAGTTTAACAAACTGCACCAGAGAAGGAGAGCCAGGTTGGCGAGGTTTTTACTAGTTGAGTCTCGCCATCACTAGAATATAAAGCCATGGTTCGCCATATATCAGGAACTCATAAAATGGTGGCACTGGACTCTATACGACAGCTACGATAAGTTTCAGGCAGGACTCCATGTTGTAAAAACTCCACCAGAGATGTAGTGTCAGGTGAGTGATTAGGTGTCTTGCTGAGTCCAGGCACTGCCAGCATTATAATGGTGAATCAATCACTGACTAATAACATCATGTCGGTGAGCCCACTGCTCAGAGGTACCCATTATGGTGGTGAGCCCATCACTAAATAATAGCATTATGGCGATGGGCCCCACTGCCCAGAAGTACTCCTATGGCGGTGGGCCCATTGCTAAATAATAGCATCATGGTGATGGGCCCACTGCTCAGAAGTACCCCTATGGTGGTGGGCCCACTGCTCAGAATAACACCCATCGCTCAGAACACTACCTATGAAGATGGGCTGATGGCTGTATAGTAGCCCCGAGGTGGTCGGCCGATGGCTCAGAACTTACCCCCTGGCAGTCAGCTGATCGCTCAGTACTACCACGGTGGTGGTGGGCCGATGGCTGTATAATAGCACCATGGTGGTGGGCCGATTGCTCAGAAATATACCTCTGGTGGTGGGCCCATTGCTCAGAACACTACCTATGGCAGTCGGCCGATGGCTGTATAATAGCCCCAGTGGCAGTGGGCCGATCACTCAGAAATATACCTATGGTGGTGGGCCCATCGCTCAGAACACTACCTATGATGGTGGGCCCATCGCTCAAAAATACATCTATGGCAGTGGGCCAATCGCTCAGAACTATCACCGTGGCAGTGGGCCCATGCCTATATAATAGCAGCACCATGGCAGTGGGCCGATTGCTCAGAAATACTCCTATGGCGGTGGGCCGATCGCTCCAGCATTCCCTTTCTCGCCATGAGCTGATCGCTTACAACTCCTTACACAGACTGATGGGCCGACGTCCACTGGCTGTCCAGTTCATGACAATGTCAGGGTAAATGGGAGTCCAGTTCACAAACATGACTGAATGGGCTGAGTCAAGCCAACCGCCAAGGGCCCCGCGACCAAGAAGGCAGCCGCCAAAGTGACATGCAAGGTTGGCGGCAGTGGTGGTGTTCGAGGTGCTCGGCGCTAAGTCTTTACAAGTAGTGCTGTTGTAGCACCGATATCGCAAAGGTAGTTCATACAATGCGGTCATCCTCACATGGAACATGTTATAGTAGTCTTAAGTATAGTTGATCCTGAGCTACTTTGTAAAATACATAGTGGCGCGCTGCCATCCTAAGTTGCTGATGATGGTGAAGGCATGCTGGCAGAATCGACTTTGTCTCTGAAGGCATCCAGCGACTTGGACACCAGCTTGGTCTCTTTCTTGGCGGTCGCCATCTCCTTGTTGAGCCTCACCTCCAACTCATTCAGGTCCTTCATCACCTGCCTCACCTGCTCGTCCATCTTTGCAGACTGCTTCGCCTGGAACTCCATCGAGTTGTGCAGGGCCGTCAACTCTCCCTGCATCCAGTTCCACTCATCGCCGCTCAGTCTGTTCATGGAATCTTGCTCCAGCTGGTTGATCTTCGCCTTCAGCCCTGGCAAAAAGGCTGAGTTTGCCAGTGCATCGTCCACCCTCTTAGTCAGTCCATCCTGGAACTTCTTCACCTTGGCGGTCACCTGGGCGGTGTTATGTGCCGTCATCAGTTGTGGCAAAAAGGTCAAGTTGGCAATTGCCTTCTCCACCCTCTCCATCGGGCCGCTTTGGAAATCCTCAATGATGGCAGCATGACGCACCGCCACTGCCTTCTCGATGACGATCTGCAGGTGCTCATCCACTCGCTCATCGATGTGTTGGTCCACAGCGCCTGAGGTGGCCTCCATTCGCTCCAGCATAACCTTGAAGCGGTCTATCAAAGAGGTCAGCACCTGCATGTGCTGTTGGAACTCCTGCTCCACGCTCGCCTTGTGCGCCTGAAATTCACTCCATAGGTCGACGAGGCTGTCGGATGTATCTCTCCTGTGCTTGCTGCTACTTGGCTCATTGTCCGATTCTGTGGCAGGGGTGTTAGACCTCGCGAGCGAGATCAGATAGGTGGAGCTGGGTCAACCAAGTGAGCAGTCATGTTAGTGTTGCGGTCCCGCAACTGGTCATGAAAGTCATGAAGGAGTCTTAAGGCGGGGCATGGCGCTTGAGGGCGAAGGACCGGGGCCCTTCCCAGGGAGAGAAGAGCAGGGTGCGTGTGGTCAGAGAGACTGGGCATGATGAGCGGAAGGACCGCTCATTATCCTTGAGCCAGTGAGGATCGAGGGTGACACGGGCTGCAGTGAGCAGTGCCGGGGTTCGTCGAGAGAGTGCGAAGCACAAGGTTGAAGTTAGAGAAGTCTGACCCCTATTTACAGTAACTGTGGCGTAAATACATGCAAGTAAGTAAAGATTATAGACGAGGCTCGAATACATAAGGCTCGCGATTCCCACGGTAAGTAGCTTTGAAGGTTCTTACTATGACGGCTAGGATGCCCATCCGTGCATCCGTAACAGAGCCCCCCATCGCTAGCCTGATGTGATTGTGCTCCTCCGGCAGCAGGGACCACTGCAGGATAAGTCGTCTGAGTCCGCGCCAGTGTTGCAGTTGCAGGATGTCATCTTCACTGTCTAGATAGCCACACTCCTGGGAAGAAGGGAAGGTGGACAACCTGAAGCCCCAGACCCACTGATACCGGTCTCGTGTGGCAGCCCACACCTCAGCAAGGTCTTGAGTGGTGGCCGTGCATACGTTGGTGTCGAGATTAAATGCTAGCCGTTCCACGTCGTAGCGAAAGAGGAAGGTATTGAGCTCCCATTTGAAACTGCGGGCATCTGTATCCGTAAGGGGGTCCTGACGAATGTCTGCCAGCTCTGCTACAGTGGGCATGGCTCCCGCAGTGCTGTCGAAAATCTGCGGTACATGCGCAGTGTCCATTGAGGACCCCATTCAGCAAAAATCTCCCTGAATCTGGACAAGCTGACCAGTGACGCGTGCCCAGATTCTCCACAAGCCAACGTGGGCCGATGAGACCCTCATATGCCCATTGCTTGGATGGGCCATCTGTGCTGTACGTCTTTACCTCTGGTCGGCCCATTTATTGACTCTGTTTGCACATACACAAGAAGGTTGGATGGGCCCAGGCAGCATCATTAGAAAACTTTCAGTTCAGCCCACTCAGAGGCCTGCAGAAGTAAGGCCTCAGATCTTCTACTTGGCCGACAGTTGATACAGGCATACATGCCTGTAGGCAAAGTTGCACATCGACATACTTGACTCGGCCCATGGACAAGGCAAATGATCGAGTGTTCTTGTGTCGGCCAATCCTTGGCTGTATTCAGTACTTTACTCTGGGCCCACCGTCAAGCGTGTACATTGAGTTTTCATGTCGGCCGATCCTTGGCTGTGTCTTATACTTTACACATGGCTGTAGCATTCTGTACCTATGATTTTCATGTCAGCCCATCCCTGGCTGTATTCGATAGATTAAACTCGCTTTGATGCATTAGACTTGGCCCACCGTTAGGCGTGTACCTCGAGTTTTTGTGTCAGCTGATCCTTGGCTGTATTTGATAGACTCGGCCCACCATCAGGCGTGTACCTAGAGCTCTCCTGTCGGCCCATGTATGACTGTATCTCACATTCTAGACTCGGCCGCCGAGTCGGCGTAGCATTCCATACCCAAGATGTTCATGCCGGCCCATCCCTGGCTGTATTCGACACATTAGACTCGGCCCACCATTAAGCATGTACGTTGAGTTTTCATGTCGGCCGATCCTTGGCTGTATTCAGTACTTTACTCTCAGCCCACCATCAAGTGGTCGGCAAATCAGTGTACCTGGTGTTCTCATGTCCGCCCACCCTCTGTGCACCAATGACACAAATGCTTGAAGAGGTCAACCCTGGTCTTTAGCATGAGGCCATGCCAGGTGGAACTTCCTCATCTGCTGTGTTCCTCGAGCAACGTTCTTGAGTCTCGGTTGGTTCAGAGTACTCCGGCATAGTACCATGGTTCCACTGTCCTGAACTCCATGCTGCATGCATGCTACGTATGACAAGACACAGGGCACAGTACTTTTTTCAACAAAGTTCCACTGTGGCCGACGCAGTGAAATTCTGGGCCACTATTTGATAGCAGAAAAATGGCAAGGCTTGCTGAAATGGCCTAATACTATCAGTGACCTGGATATGCCACCATTGGATGTCAGGAATTTTTCTGGCATTTGGTGCACTCCATCAAGTGCCTGAAAGTTTCGTAGATGTTTTCGAACCTAAAACATTGTAAAAGTTTCAGGATTAAATGGGGCCAAGTCAACTCCTAGTAAAGTAGGGATTGCAGGACGGTGGCATTATTTCATCAGCGGCCAGATCAGTACAAGGTCAGGATTACTGGCTGTGGCATTCCCAGCTACAGCCCTCACAACAAGCCAGGCTAATTGGTCTGACAATCAGTCCATTTCGCCCAGGTCGCACTTCAGCACATCTCCAAATTGTTGGACACATCTCAGAAAAATCCGAAAGAATAGTCTGCAGGTGTGTTATGTCCGAGATAAAAATCCACTAAGATGCCACACACAACATTCGGTAACCACAGCATGCGGTAGGAACAGAATATTATGGCACCTCAGGTCTCAGGCCTGCAATTCGTGATGCGCTATCAGTTCACATGAACGGTCTGGTGACGTCCGGTACTTCAGGTGTAGCATTGTGCATGTACACCACGATACTCACCTGCAAAGTCTGAATGACGCGGCTGAAGTCCCAAAGGCTTGCCATGTGTTGTGGGGCTGCATGTGTTGCATCCACTATCTTACACCCAGTTAATGATATCGGCCATGACATCAACCATCTATCATGCCGGAGCATGAGGCTGTACCAAATTCTTTCATGTCAGCCCAACCGTGGCTGTATGCCCAGCCCACCATCAAGGTGTCGCCATATTGCGACCTCGGCCACCCATGAATGAGGGACCAAATTGTGTCGACTAGTGCAATCTCTCAAGTTACCCTGTATTACCAGCTTCATTTGTCGCCCAAACCCTAGCACCTCAATTTGAATGGCATAAATCTGGGTCTGAAGGATTCTTTACAGGCTTTTTGTTCATATTTCGTGCCCTCAGCCTCGATCGCTCTACTGACAGTGGAGTTGCTTGTCCGGGGGCGCTCTCAACGGACACCACCTTGTAAAGATATCTAACACAGTGTTCATAAAGAATGAGATACTTCACTGAACAACCACAGTTGTGTCACTTTTCACACAGCGAAACCAACACGGGAGAGCCAACATCTTCTAATTGTTGTGTAAATCACGAAAACTGCTCACCAACAAGTCATAAATTCCATCCACAACACCCGTGCTGCAGCCTGGAGCCAAGCCCTACAGTTACGAGCTCAGTTGACAACCTATGGCACAGCAAATAACTCAGCTATGCCCGGGCTAGTCAGATATTTCAGGCGACCCATGCTTATGGGCCCAGTCAAAGACCACTGCAGATTGCTATGCCTGTGGGCCCAGTTGAAGAACAGGGACATCCCAGAATCTCATGGGCCCAGTCAATGAACTCAGCGATGGTGCGCAATGGGCCTATGGGAAAAACCTCTAGTACTAGGAGGCTATCAGCCTATTCCAGAATCTGCAGTATGGGATCTCGATCGGCCGAAATAGGCTTGTCCAGAATCTGGGCACGCGTCACCAATCTGTTGGTCCAGATTCTGGTGGGTTCTTAGCTGTTCTTTGCTGAACGGTGTGCATTGAGGCGGTGACGTTGTCAACAGGGAGTGCACTGCTTCCGGTTTCCTGTAGCACCATCCGATAGCGTGCTCGTCATGTTCCCTTACGTTCAGTTTAAGTAGGTGTGGGGGTGAGATGGGAAGCTGGTTGAGATGGGGGAATTTGGGGGCCAGCCCGTGGGTAGTTTCTCATTTGAAACGCGCTGGGATGAGCATCACGTTGGTCTCAAACTCACTGTCAAGAAACTTCGTGGCCTCCGCCAGTGACACAAAGGAGATGCGGGACTGCATGGTATGCTCGTGAGCAGTGGACCATGTGCGGGGTGCCGCAGCTGGGTCTGGCAAGAGTAGGTCCAGAACGCATGCTCCTCGAATGGCTGGCATGGAGGAGCTGGTGCATGGAGACGGTGTTGGTAGCAATTGTGCTGGAGGACAAGACAGCTGTCCAAGTGTCAGACAATCCAGGAGAGGAAGCTTACTTGGGAGAGAGGGAGCGGGGTGAGTGGTGCTGTGCATTGAGAGCTGATCGAGCAGGGGCACTTTGTCGCGCGGTGCGAATCTGTGTCTGGGCGGGGGTTCAGTCAGTCGGCTTTCTAGGTTGGACTCCGGTGGGGAATTAAAGCCCGAGGCTAGCCCGCACGGTGGTCGTGCAGGGCTGTGTCACCTTCGCCCTGGCGGGGAGTACTGATCCAGTCTGGGGAATGCTGAGGGAGAGTGGCGAGGAGGAGAGTAGTCACGTTGTCATCCAGGGGATACTCGGGGATTGCATTGTCCATATGGGAAGCTCCCACACCTGTCCCTGAAATGGCTCCTGGTTGTGGGTGACCTCCTGCTGTGCGAGCGATGTCGATTCGAGTATACGGCCTGGTAATGGGAGTGAGAGTGGCTTCTCGATGGCCATTGACTGCCAGGCGGGGAACTCAAGCGTCGGTGGCCTCGGGTGCTCAGGCATGCAGGCAGTGTTCGCCGGTGAGGAGGGGACCTTCACTGTGGGGACCTAGCACATACTGGCCGATGGACAGGGGAGCACCTGATGGGAGTGCGTGGCTGAGATGCGGGCCATGGGGCAGGAGCGAGGTGATCTTGAGACCTCCCTCTGTGTAGCGTGAGGGTTGTCATCCTTGCGACGGGAGATGAGGGTTCCACGTGTGGCAGTGCGAGTTCCAGTTGTGGTATAGTGTAAGCATCGAAAAGATCTCCGTACTCTTTGTCGTCATCCAGGAGGAGCTGCAGCTCCTTCCACGCGCGTTTTGACAGGGGCTTAACATACAGTGGGTCATTCGTGGGTAAGTCCAGTGACAACAAAGGGTTCTGGGCTTGCTGGCACATGAGCGATGCTCCGGTGGACAGAGGTTTGAGTGAAGTGATGAACCAGCATGGGCACCCGCAGAACACGAGCCATTTGTGAGTCTCTAAGTCATCCTCATCGAGCCAACAGCTGATGATGGCCATAAGTGGAAGCGGTGAAGGGACGCAGAGCGCGCTGAGGTGGGAATCACATCCGGGAAGCGGTCTCACATTTTGGAGATACTACAGGGTGCTACACAACTGACCCCTAGTCCGACATCAGTTGGAAGCTGGTTATCGGAGGAGGGAACGCTACGAGCCTGAACGCTACTTCCAATTCCTCGACTGTGATCTGCAACCGTCTCAAAGTACCATCCGCCAGCTCGCATCTACCAGTGATTCCACGCATGACATCGTACAGTTCGTGGGCCATGTTGCGCAATGTCTCAACCCGAAGGTGCAAGGTTCCTGATGGCGATAAAAAGCTGAGGAACACGACTCCAGGAAAATAGGGACAGGACAACCGTGCACCAATGTCAGGGAGACCATCCGGCAGGTGGCCTAAACCAAAGTCCTCGCGGACAGCAGGGTCGTCATACAGAACGCGGGCAGTCAAACCATGAGGAATGACCGCAGGAAGGTGATCCGCAATTCGGGGTATCATCCGATGACCACCTTCTACAGTGCGAGCTGGTGCCAGGTGTATTTCCACCTGGGCCAGGACAGGGATATCGCGCGGAAGGGGTAGGATGATCCCCACGCTGGCCGCTTCAGACTGGGCTTGGACCATAAGGACCTCAGGGACATGTGAGGGTCAGACAGCAAAGGATCATATGCTCGTGGGGGCCTCACCAGCAGGACGTGCATCCGGACTGCCCATGCTTTCCACAGGATCGGGTCGAAGGGCTCGGTAAAGATCTCAATGCAAAGAAGAGCTTCTGCGAGGGTGTATTTGCGAAGGATGATGCTGGCGTCCATGGATGGGAGATTGAGTTTAGGATGGGAGATGCCTCCAAGATGGACGGGTCCTTATTAGGCGCTCGGGCGGGTTCGGTGACGGAAGGTCCCTCGGAATGAGTAGGAGCGTGAGGGGACGGGATTGCGAGATATGGCGTGATGGGCAGTGATTCAGCGGAGCAATTGTTAAGCAGATGCGGGCAGTATCGGAAGGGCAGGAAAGGTCAGGACTAGTTAAGTATGATGGCAGGGAAAAAGGGGAGGGGGAGAACCCACAGTCCCAGAAGGTACGCTTGCGAAAAGACTCATTTTTCATTCCCATCCCATCCAGTTAGTGCGTCTTTGGGCAGTCTTGCGTTTTGTGCGTTTTCTGGGCAGTCTTGCATTTCTGCGTTTTAGCGTTCTCCTTAGGGCAGTGCGATTTTAGTCCGACGCGTTGTCCAGCGATCATTGCAACTACAGAGATTTTCCTAGCTACGCTTTCGGGCCACCCACCTCATACCTCTGGAATAGACTCTTCTCCCTCATTGCATCTTAGACCCCATGCGGACTTGATTCCGCTCGTACTCCTCCTTTCCGGCTTGCGACGGAACATCAATCACGTCAGCGGGTCAGCGAAAAATGCAGACTGGAAGGAGGAATGCAGGTGCGATGCGAAAATGTAAGCTCGCATATCCAGGAGGGCCCGTTGTACTAGCCCTACCGCCGACCACGTACGTTCCAGTGTGAATTCGGAGAAGGCGAGGTCTCCTATTGCAGCGATGACTTGGATGGATTCGAACTCCGGGAGGAGCACATCGGGCAGGATGGGTTCACAGTTGGAGAATGCGAGCTTCTCCAATTGATAGAGGCTATTCAGCAGAAGCCAAAACCCGTCATGCAGGCAGCCCTTGCCTGATTGCAGTGCAAAGGTACAGAATGTCTGTAGGGCCTTCGGAGAGTTGCACTAGGGGAGGGCGTACACGGGATCGAGTGTTCCGTCTGTCGATGGAATTTTGTGGATGAAGAGATGGTGAGGCAGGTCAGGCGACCACCACTGCAGCTGTAGAGTCCAGTCCAGTTCTCCCAGCCGTCCATCCGCATAGGATCGGTCAAGGTCACCTGCTCATGGCGGCAGCATGGGCACAAAGCCACAATTTGAAGAGACCGTGTAGCGACCGTCAGGCAGGATGATATAGGATCTGATGTGCCGATGCCCATTGAAGTTGCTCTATGCGAAGTCGCTGGCAGATGTACGGATTGGCAGGGTGGAGAAGTTGCACAGGAGGGTGTGATGCTCTCTCATTGAAGGGGGCAGTGAGGACGCAGCGACCATAGGATCCGGTGGAGGAGGTTAGCATGGTGGTTGCACTCGGAGACTCCATGGCACGGCGGTTGCTTCAGTGCGTCTACGGCGCGATGGTCACGCACGAAGTGGTTCCCTGTTCTGATGGTGAGTTAGTGAGAAGGGAAAAAGGGAGGCTGTGCCAGCGCGGCATGGGGAGATTACATAGTATACAAATAGAAGATAAAAAGGGAAATTTCAAAGACAAGCTATCTACAAAGGTCAGACTGTCAATAGAATTATAGATTTAATTGTCAGGGCCCGACGCTGAGCGTTTGAACTCCACTAAAATTTCGTGAGCATTGCGGAGGTCATGTGTGGTCTGCTGTGGCCCATACCCTTTCCACCTGATGAGGTATTCGATGATGTTGCATTTCCGTTGGTTGCGCCTCCAAGCCACTATTCTTTCCACTTCATACTCTTGGGCGGCGAATAGGTCAGAACAGCGTGGGTCTGGTACAATGGGATGGGCGATGTCTCCAAATAACTCGGGGTCAGATGGAGTATACTTGCGTAGGTGCTGAATGTTGATGGCCGGATTCATGGGATAAGTATCTGGTATAGCCAGTCAGTAGACCAGAGGATTGACTTTCTCTTGTACTATGAACAGCCTGACCATACGCTGAACCAACTTCTTGCCCGTACCTTGAATGTCCACCAGCTCTAGGCTGTGAGGGTTTACTAGCACCAGTGATCTGACTTCAAATTCTTCCTCCCGGTGTGACTTATTATACTGATGGGCCACTCTTTCCTGAGCCATCATGATTGCATCACGTGCTTGGCAGCGGTGTAGTTCAAGCCCGGAGACAAAGTCCTCAGCTTGTTCGTGGAAGAGTTGCGAGTGCAGTTCGTGATTATCGTGGTTACCGATGAAGTCGGTAGCTCCTCGAGGTTCGAACCCGTATAGCAAGAAGTAGGGAGAGTAGCCCGTGGAGGAGTGAATTGAGGAGTTGTAAGCATGGGCGAGAGTGGGTAGCCATCTAGCCCAGTCGTGCCTATTGGAGTGCGTATATGCTCGTAGCATGGTCTCGAGATTCTGATTTACAATCTCAGTTTGACCATCGTGCTGAGGATGATGCGATGACGACAGACACAGATTGTTACAATGCTCCTCACTTGTGGCGCGTCTTTTCCTTTTTCTTTTCTTTGTTCCCTTTACGTTACCAGACCACGTGATCCAACACGCGACTCATCGGAGCGCAACCTCTGATTCTTTATCCAGATGTCCAGAACTCCTAGTCTAGGGTTACACCGGATCCAACTCCGGACCTTCTTCTTATCGCACATGCAAGACGTGCATGTATGCCTCATCTTTACCTCGTTCTGATACACGACTCGTTATCCCCATTAGTACTGATTATCTCTCACGACCTTACTCAGCTTTCTCATACATATTACTTCCTCGCTGTTACCTTGCTCAGATATTGTTTCACCTTATCTAGCCAATGAACAATCTCGCATTACTGCGTAGTACTGCAGATACCTTTTGTATAAGTAGACGACCTTGTCGAGCTGGATCCCCATCTCGACCTGGTTACCATTAAACCAGCTTTTCACTTGCCTTTGACTGAGATCGACCGTTAGTAGCAGACAGCTACTACGAGTCATAAGAACGAACTCTGATCGACCTTCAGTGCGAGGACATCGCCAGAAGTGTCACTTGAACGGACTTGTGTCTTAGACTAAGACCTTGTCTCATGACGACTCGACTAGCCGCTCGTGTTTCGCTGCCGCGTAACATTAGGTCGAGATCTTATTACTCTCTGTGACTTCCTAGAGTCTAACAACGAACTACCGACCAGACCGAACCTTAAAGACTGAACGATACACCCGATTTGATTGCTAAAGCACCATTTGAGATTACTCTGTAATCGAGGTAGCTGAAGGGATAGACTGATCACTCATCTTCGGAGAGGGGTCTGTCCGAGAGACCAATAGGCCGAGGAGGCTGAGGTAATCACTCGAGCAATCAGCAAATAGGTGTATCAGTTTGAAGACAGAAGACACTCTACGGGCTTGTTAGCCGACGATGAACGAACCCACTTAGTTAAGGACGGTGTGCAGTCTACGTGTAGACGTAGGTCACACAGGAGAATTTATCCACGCTGGATTTGAACTTTATCAACCTGACTGCTCTTCCCAAGCAATACATCGATCTCCTCCCATCTCAGGCAGAGTGGGACGCACAGAGGAACGTACACGTTTTAAACGGACGACCTTTACTCATCAGACCAGATCAACGCATTGATCACCCAAGTGGTGACTACGAAGCAGGCCTACCCCATAACGTTGGAGGGCTTGTACTATCACACATCGCAGACAGCGGCATACCTATCTCTTATCCAGGAGAAAGACCAGACGCCCCTTGGAACCTCCCTGTCCAGGATCCCGTACCCCAACCGATTCTTGCACCAATCATATCTGATTACGTACCACCGATGGCTACAGTTAACATGGATGAAGGACGTCACCATGTCAGCCAGAAGGAACTTGGTTTTAGAAAACCCGAGATCTTCAACGGTTCAGACCGTTCGAAGCTTAGGGAATTCATAAACCAATGCAAGAATTACATGGCCGGAAATAGCCATGTCTACCAGGAGGACAATCAGAAGATCGCATTTGTGCTATCGCACATGCAAGGAGGAACAGCAGGATCATGGGCACAGAGCTTCATAGAAACGGAACTCACCAATGACGACTTCCTTTCTTATGGGAGTTGGAGAGACTTCATTGCGAGTGTGAACAAAGCATTTGGCGATGAAAATATTGAAGAAACCGCTCATACCTTGCTGCGTAACATCAAGCAACGAACTCGTACTGCGGACGACTACATTGCCGAATTCCGATCGATTGAATCCAAGGCAAAATTAGAAGATGCCGGAAA